TTGCAGGGCACTTGAGTTCTGCGGTCTGTCAGGCCTTCTAAAACTGAAGAATTTGTACAGTCTTAACCCTGTTCTGTCCCCCTGTCATTAGGCCCGATATGTTCCCTTGCAAGTCATGCTTCATTGAGTCCTGTTCCCACCTACTGATGTCTGCCTTAAAACCACAACATATGTTCAAGTCTGAGGCAACTGGTACAAATAACTTTTGAGAAGTACCCATGGATGTCTAGGGTTATGGCAGGAGGGTGGCCTGTAAATGGCTAAACAATATGTCACATTCAGTATGGTGGAAAAAAAGGTAAATTTTTAATAAGAAAACTGCATACAGCAATATCTTCACAGTGACTATGAGGAAAAGGGAAGGAAAGGTAGAATGCATTGAAAAATAAAGAAGAGCAAACTACAAGGAGGGAGTACCTTTTTTTTTTTTTTAGAAAGTTTTTGTAGTTGGTGAAAAACTAACTACAAATCTTAGCTATAAACCTGTACTGTCATTTCCATGTTTCATGTGTGGGTGTTACAGTTGGATGCTAAGAAACTGCATTGTGTAGTGTGTAACAGCACTCTCTGAATGAAGGGTTGAAGTAATGTATGGAGTCTTAGTGTCATTCCTGTACCTATAATTTTTTAAGAAGGAATGCTAACAAAGAAATAAGTCTACCAGCTCTGTCAAACTTCTGAATATAGTGGTAGCAGATGAACATACATAATCTTGTTTACAAAACCGCCTAAGATTTGCGCACTAGCACTTTCTGTATATGTACTTATCTGTCAACAAATCTGACCACGAGGTATAGATCTCAACTAAATTGTACACTGGTGGAAACAAGCAGCCAGGCAGGGGGACCATGATAGTGTCCCTGCAGAGAGATAAGCTGCAGCCTGAAATTGATCGTATTAGGCTCAGTTTCAAAACGTCAATCTAGAGAAGGTTTTACTGTTTCTGTGGTGTCTGTTTGATTTGGACACAGCACAGCTCCTGGAGTGGTGGGAACATTCCCATATCATGCAGTCCTGTCAGGCAAACAAATTATCCACAGGCTTACATAAGATGGTCTTGGTGTGCGTCATTTCTTATATTTTCTCCATATAATGCTGCTTCTGTCAAATAAATGTCAAAATCGTGACGTTCCTGTAAAAGAACTGTAAGAGAGCAGACCAGTATAATTATTGGCAAAGAAAGTAGCTTTAACTTTCTAGCTGCTGGTTTATTATTCCTACTCCAAAACAGTCTCAAAATTTTCAAGAACTGTTCTAGCAATTCTCTGAAGGTGCTGACAGCTGAAAGCTATCTGCAGGACACCTGGGAGAGAAAATGCAGGGAGGTTTTTCCTAAATCTACTGAAACACATCAGGGGTGAAGAGTTTATGTTGACATAGAAGTATTTTACTCAATATGAACTTCCTTAAATGAAGATATCTGAAACGTAGAAAGCAAACAGATGAGAAAGAATAAACAAGGTTGCCATGCAGTTTCTGACAGGCCCATGGTTACTGCGTCTATTGGCAACCCTTGTTGCCGAGTGGTGAGAAGGTGACTGTTCCACTGAATTATAGTGGCATTTGTGATCTGGAACAAAAGCTCTTTGTTTCCATGGGGTAAAGCCACAGAGTATCAGTTGGGAAAACAGTTTTGGAGTTTTTGGTTTGTTTGTGGTTGTTTATGGTTGATTTTTTTGTTGAGTTTTTGTTGTTGTGTTTGTTTGGGTTTTTTTTGTTTTGGTTGCTTTGGTTTTTTGAGGGGGGGGGAGATGGCAATAATATTTTCCAGAAGACGAATATATTGTCCATGGTTTTGTCTGCAGTCTTGTGTACAGAAGGTGGGAAACCCCTTGAGACTCTGGGTTAATTGCTATTTCAAACAATAAACTATCCAGCTATATATTACCAGATAGTTTGTAGATCTTTGAGAAAAGCCTCTTTCCTCATCAAAGGTGACTAGGTTTTTTTTGATGGGGCCAGGAAAGGAGTGAGAAGAGATCTGTGTAGCCTTGATTTGTAAAAACTGTTGAAATTATTAATTCTGTATTTGAGTGAAAATTTACAAAATCCTGAACTCTTCCCATTATGATTAGTAATACTTAGTTTAGTAGTTTAAAGGGCTACAGCAAGATAAGAGATAGATTGTACTTAGGTATAGAAATTTGATGAGAAAGTTAATCCAGCATTTTAGAGAATGCTGTTACCTAAAGTTATCTTATTCTGGACTCAGCTTTTATGATACCGTTGTATTTAGTTTTGCCAAAATAATTCCCAGCTTTCTGGACAGGTCAGTTAGCTAAGTAACAAACAAAGATTTCTATAACACTTATTAAAGAGTGATACAAGAACAGGCATGCAACAACCAAAATAATCTGTACTGTTGACAGTGCTCTATTTATAAGTAATTGCAGGCTCCTCCTTCAGTACTAGGAAAAAAATGTTAAATTATGATGACTAACCTAGGTTTTGAGGCAGTAATATTATCTAGACTATTCATTTCTATTATTAATTTTCATTATTTTAAAGAGTTCTTCATGAATCTGTTTCAAATTGAAAAGCCAATATCATTTATAGATGCACTTTTTAAAATACATGATTTTTAGCAGAATTAACCAGTTTTGGCTGTGGCACAAGTGTTATTCCACCAAAATTATTTTGTTACTGTTTACTGAAATAATTTTTTAATCCTAATGTAGGAAGATTTCAGGTTGTAAGTTATCAGAAGAGTAAATGCCATGCTGGTGGTAAAACCTGACTTAGCCCCCAACACCAACGTTTTATAGCCTTCTGTAGTTTACAGATACCTATGTAAAAATAGTACACTTGGGATATTTTGAAGGAAATTAATGGATAAATTTTTATATAGCTTGTACATATATGTATCCAACGTTTTTGCAGTCACTATGTTTGTTTCTGAGGTAAAGACCAGTAGTTTTTGAACAGCACACAGAGGCAATGCATACCTGTAGGTCTTCAGGGAAGATATGGCATTCATTTTATTGAAGCATAAATTTGTTAGGTTTAAAATCTAAAAAAACTTTAGCTGTACTGTGGGTTTGTCATTCCTCACAGTTATAGAAGAGACTCCAACTGTTACTATAGTGTGCGTGCAGTTTTGTGTAGGTAAGAATAAGCTTTTTCTGCTCTCAACCTGATTATCCATCACTGAAACCATTGTGCCTCTAAGGAAATGTAGAGAAACCCACAGAATCAGCAATTTTATTTTTAATTAGACTTGATGTTACCCTTTTAAACTAAGAAATGCCTCTGTTCTTTGAGAATGAGTTTAAATATAAATATGGAAGCAATGAGAGTCAACCGATACCTTGAACAGCCAGACTCCAATGATATGCCTAAAAAAATCCTTCATTTTTTACACACCACGAATTGCAGAATTCTTAGTGATTTGTTACCTGTACGTTGTAGGTTAAAATATGTAAATATATATGTACATGTTTGCGTGTGTAACCCAATGGTGAAGGCCCCATTTATCTCAGATGAAAGAAAGGTAATGTTCTGAATCTCCTAAATGCCATGTCTGTACTTTCACTGGTCGGATGATTCAGAGGTAAGAGCTCTCCTCCAAACTACTTATTCTTTTACAAGAATTCTGAAATTCAACAACAGAACCATTGGAAAACATTTTTTTAATGCTTTATGGACTTTTGGTTATGCCAGTGTAAGCCAGTCGGCTGAACTGGAGCTCTCCCGGTGTAACAGAATAGAATCTGTCTGTAAAGTTACCTTGTTAATAAGGGAGCCAGGTGGCTAACTCTCAAATGTCATCTTTCTAATGGTATATTCAGTTATGCTGGCTTCTTTTGCTTATATGGTACCATAAATAGCAATACATAATATTTCTCATTTAGAAAGTGATTTCATGCACAGACCCCCTTTAAGAAACCTGCATTACTTTTATACTGAAACCTTAAGTGAGAGAATTTGCCGGAGATGACAGTGGAGTCCCAAAGCAATTACACCCAAAAGTTTAACATCGTCGTGGTATTTGAAGCGACTGTAGCACAAGAGGACGAATTTTAAATATCTGTGAGAAACCAGTGCAGTTTATGACTGTTGCTTTGCCATACTCGCGTTGGTAGACTCTGTCCGCGCACGCTGAGCCACCTGCAGGTGCCCTCGAACCTTAATGCAGATCGCATTTCTCTGCCTGAAGGCAGAGATCTGAGCGCCTTATTACCCCCAAGAGCGGGAGAGAGAGCACTTGATTTTATGCTGTCGAAGTGACTTACATTAGGTCCAAACTAGCATTACTTGAGGGGTCCCATATGCAGCCCCCCCGCTGTGTGTGGTGTTAGGAAAACACGGCGTTTTCACACAGTAGAGCCCGGAGGAGCTAACTCGACGTATCCGCCGGAGCGTGGTGTTTCCCGCTGGGAAACGCTCCCAGCTGACGCTCCGGCGGGCGCCGAGGGGTGGGACCTGCCCTCTTTTCCCTCCCTCCACCTGTGGCTCCCGGGAGCGCCCTACCTGCGGCGGGGCGGCGCAGGAAAGGGGCGGCGCGGTGGGACGGCTGTTCCGGGCACGTCGGCGGGCCCAGCGCCTTCCTCGCACCGGGACCCGCCGCCGCCGCCCCTCCATGGCTGCTCCGCAGGACCCGCTGCCCCCAGGTGAGGACCCGCCGCGGGGAGCCGGGCGGGCGGGGGGTGCTCCCGGGGTCCCCACGGGTGCGGGACGGGCGCTGTGCGGGGCGCGGCCCTCGGCGACCACCCCCGGGCTGGGGTGGCTCTGGGACGCGGCTCAGGGGAGCCGGGTGAGGAGCGTAGCCCCGGCCGGGATGAAATGGTTTTGCTGGTTGCTCCCTTCCCCCTCCGCACACGCTAATTAAGCGTGGTAATAATTTATCATGTGCCCCGCTGATGTGATTTAGTGCAACTTGTCTTGTCAAGCCTGCTCCAGTGTTTAGCGTGTGAGTTAGTTTGCGGTGGTTTACAGCACGCTAAAAAGACATTTTTAAAAAGACATTTTCTTAGAATCCCAGAGTTTGAGCGGTTAGGAAGTCCGCACGCTTTAACTTACAAAGCTAATGGTGCAAATGACTTTTGAGTACCTCATCTGGGGTGTGCTAGCATCACAGTTTTTCCCTACTTATCTGCTCAGACAGGGACAAAATTTTGAGTAGTTAGCAGTAAACAAAACTGCACAAGTGCTGATGGACTCAGACTTTTTGGGGAGCTGATTATGCTAATACAATTTGCCATATTTCCTCCTCTTACTAAAATCTAAAATTCAGATGCCTCTAGTCAAAGAACCATTATTGATTTGAGTTACAGGGTTCGTCTTTATTCACAGCATTAGTATTAGGGTGATAATTTTGTTTAAGTTGCACTAAGTTGAACTATTAATGTGTGTGCCCAGCCTTGGTGTGAAAGGGGTCTCATTATGTGCATGGTTGAACTACGTAACTATGGTCCACCTTACATGCTTCACTCACTGATGATGGTGTCAAGGCTGTGTTGCAAGGAAGAAATTGTAACGGGGGAATTCCATCTGTGCTACATAGTGCTTTGTGAATCCCCTCTTGCTTAAAGGTCAAAATGCCGAGGTCTGTACCACTCACCTTTGGAATTCCTTCCAGTGCAAAAATGAAAAGCAGATACAGAATTGACAAACTGTTCGTGCTGGTAAGTGTACGGCACTGCATCCCCACTGGAGTTCCAACGTTGCACAGAGAGCAATGATGGGCACTGGTACAAGTTGGCTGCTCTTCGTGCAGACTGGTTGTACTGGATGGGCCCAGGCAGAGCTGTAGCAGCTGCTGGGCAGTGTGCAGGTGCAGCAGCGTGCAGGCAGAAATGAACCTTGGAAGCAACCATCGAACCTGACTTATGACTGTCCGAGACAATTTGCATGTGCTGATTTATGTCCATCTGAGTCAACTCACTTGTGGTTCCCTGTAGAAGTGTGGGGAAGTAAATGTAGGCCAGTGGCTGTGTGCTGTCAGTGGGGTGTATGGTGACAGTGATTTTTTTGAGGGATCCCAGGTGATGTTATGAAGCTGTCTGTGAAAGTAACTGTGAAATCAGACAGTATGCACTGAATAGTCAGTCAGATGATACCCTCATTTCCTGTTGGCCTTTCAGCATGCAAAACTGTGGATGGTTTACATTTGAGATAAACAGAGAACTTCCCTCCCTGCTGCTTTGTGCACTTGTGTCCAGCTGTATGACATGAGTTGCAGAATGTTGTGGGAGATATATGTGGGAAAGAGAGAGGGGACATGGCATTTTAGTTGCGTTATTCACAATTAAATATTAGGTCTGCTTTTCAGATTATCTGCCTACTATCAGTGGCCAAAAAGACCACGGTGAATCATCTGCAGTCCAGTTTATTGAGTCTTTAATCTTAGGTACAAATATTCATAAACATACGTACGACTTACAGAAAATGTTGGGACTTGGTTGTACTCTGCAGCCTAAGAACCATGGAAGTCATTGTTCATCATGAAGAACTGGAAAAAAAGGGAAGAAATTGAGGTATACGGAAAGAAACGCAGTTTTAAAATTTTTTCAGGATGGATATTAAGCAAGAAAGCTGCAGAGTCATAGAATCATGTGAGTGTGTTTCTGAGTGAACATAGAAAGCAGGAGTCAAAGGTACCACACGGTACCCCATCACCTCTTATAGAGACACCCTGGAGTTTGTCGAGTCCTTGTTTCAAATGCCAGTATTCTCAGAGCTTCTCCCATTTTTTCAGTGCTTCCCTGTGGATCACAGAAAATAAGTTACCAGTGCCATAATGTACCTTGGTCGTATTTTGGAAATGTAACACAGGATAGGGGATGAAGTCCTTACTGTAGCTACATAGCCAGCAAGGTTGATGGACATTCTGTGGGGTCTGCTTTCATCTACCTCAGAGCTCCTCTTACATTGGTTGCATGCTTTGCCATTGGGTTTGAATGGAAAAACAGGGAGACTAGGGATGCCTGTGTTGGCCTTTTTCCCTAGAGTCTTTGGTTGTTGATGCCTCCTTGTTTTTCAGCTTTCCTTTGCAGCGTGGGCTTCTCTTTGCCCCAGCTCACTTTCCAGTTCCTCTGCAGCTTTCCACTACAGTTCCCACAAGGAACCTCCATTTTTGGCCCTACTTTTGTGCACTGTCTTATGACAGCTTATTGTACTATTGTATTATTCTTATATCCCAGTGACTCTCATCCTCTCTGCATTTGAGTTGGGAAGCTTATGTGCTTCAGTTTGTGCTGACTCTTGCTATCAGGGCAGGCTTTTTCCTGATCATTCTGTTAATACCATGTTTCTGGAGCAGGGATTTCATATTTACCAAAAGGGGCATGTGTGACAAAAATATGGGGTTTTGATTTTTTTTTTTTCTTCTTCTGCATATGGCTTCCTGAACTGCAGTGTAAACGAAGTTCATCTGAAATTTCATAGTCCCCTGCCTTTTCAAAGCATTCAGTGTGTCCCACTGCTGCCACCTTTTTTATTTTCAGTGTGTCGGACTGTCTTGCATTGTTCTACACTTTAGCTTGATCTGTTGTGTTGAGTAGATTTGTAGGAGTGGGTCCCAAAATAAACAATTATGCTAAATTTGAGTTGGTTTGAATAATGTCTATGTAACTTCTGCGGTATTTTGGGGCTCAGTGTTTATACTGTGCATTTTGTAGTTAATTTTTTGGACTGTGTTCTAAATGCATCATTTTTTTATATTTGGGAGAAGGTAATCACCAAATATTGATTCCAATCAGCTCTTACTGCTTGCAGCTGAAAACTTTTCATGTGTACTTGTAGTAAGTATAAGGACTTTGAGTGAGAGTGACAAAAATGAAATGAAGATCTTACTACATTATTTAAAATGCTTTTCAATTTTTGGCAACTTTGATGCTTATCAACAGAAGACATTTCTTGGAAATGTGTAAATAATTTTTGTAAAAGTCTATCTTTTGTTAGCTTAGAGTTGGGTTTCGTTGTTGCATGTAGTTTCTCATCTATGTGCTAGTAGCTCTGACATTTTCCAGTTTGTCATGTTTTCTTGTGGAAGTGTAATATGACATAACACGTGTAATGGCTGCATAGTTGTGCTTTATCTTGGTCAGACAGAGAAGCAAAATATGAATTGGCAGACAGAAATACTTTGATGATTACGTAGTGATAAAGCTTTCTTATTCCAGCAGATCATGCAGCAAAAGAGCCAGTGGAGGATACAGATCCAAGCACTCTTTCCTTAACAATGGTATGTATTTCTGGTCTAATAATACAGTTCAAATCATTATAGCTCTCTATGGTTATGTACTGCAGAATTGAGGTAAAAACTTTAAAGGATGCTAACTCTAAATAAGGATTTTGCTTATCAGTATGATTGCATAAACAAATTTTAATTTACTAACCTTGTGCAGGTAAAGTGTAAATAAAAATACCAATCAGTGCATCAGCAGAATTGGATGGTGTCAGCGGAGCTGTCCATGGGATAGGCCTCCAGAGGCTATGATAGTGCCAGCTTTTTAATTAAAAAAACCCCAAGAACCGAGAAAAATTGGTGCTGACATTCTTCTATCTATATAGTTTGGAGAGATAAGAAAACCCACCTAGGGCCTATAATTTCAATTGTACTAAGATGTTATTCCTTCCTGTGCCAGATGAGTCGAAGTCGTGGAAAGGTAGTAGCAAAGAGCAGTGCCTTTGGCAGGCACGGGTTAACTTAGGGAGGGACCAAACAGAGCCCTCTAGTGCTTACTGGCAGAGGAACATCGTTTAGGACAAGTGTCTTAGGATATTGAGCATTCCAGCCTTATGCTGAGGTAGGAGTATATCTGCTGGGGTAGAAGTAATCTGAAAGTGTTTTAAATGTGGGGTTATTTTGGTTTTGATTGGGTTATTTTGTTTGTTGTGTTTGTTTGTTGGGTTTTTTTTTTAGTGTTGCTGTGGATTATTTATTCTGGGGGAAAATTGACAGTGCCATGTATCCCAGAGAAGACACTTGTCAAACGTAGTTATGTAAACAGATTGAAATGCGTTAGTTTATTTTATGAATATAGACTTTGTGTTTGTTTTTGTGGACTGACTAAATTAGATACTGTATTTTGCCAAGGGGATTTTTTTTTTAAAGGTGAGGAGAAGTTATGTCTGAGATGTGAAGTTTCTTTAACACACACCCTCACCAATAAACTAAGATCTATTAATCACTTTGCTTGGTTAGGAGCTTTTTTAAAAGCCACACCTACTTTTGCATAAGGTTGAGGGTCATAGGGAAAGAGGTAGATTTCAGTTATAACATGCCCAGAAATCAGTAGCTATGTCCTTAGACTTAGTAATAATAATTTTCTATTGCATCATAGTTGGCTATTTAAGTTTAGAAAAGAAGGGGCAAATATTTTTTTTTTTCAGTACAGTAATATTTTATCAAAAGCTCCTATCTGCCAAAAGAACATTTTAAATCATCTCTGTTCCTCCTGGTATGCATTACCTTTTCGAGATTATCTTGCTACTTAAGTGCAAAATTTCTTTCCCAATCTCAGTTATTTCACTAGTAAGTAATAACTTTAAAAATACTGTAGCAATCTCTGTTACTTTTGCATGTGGTAATCAGAATTGCTAGTAGCATCTCAGTTACCAGGTAAGAAGAGTGTTACTGTATCTGATGGGGAACAGATCAACTAGTAGCATCTTAAGTGATGCAACTATAATTACACAATTTTATATACTCTTTCTCCAGCACAATTACACTCAAATAACAGGTATCTGTGTTTCTTGCGTTTTTGTGACAGACTGAAAAATATCCTGTCCAAGACACAGGAGTGCCTAAAGGTAAGTATTGTAAATTCTGTCTATTCAGGTGTCATGGATATGTGTTGTTAGATGGAATAAACCCAGTGGTGTTATCCAAAGATTGAAATACTCATACTTTTTCCTAGATGTGTGTTTTCAATGTAATATCCTCTTCTGTATTTTTAAGGTCAGTTTGGTTTGTATATCTAACTTTTGAAATTTCCTTCCAAAGTTTAGTTTTGATCTAAAAGCCAATCTATAACTATCATCAGAAGATTTGGGTTCTCAGGCTAGAAGGAAAATACAGTGGTACCATCAAAGAACAGTGTTCAGGCAACAGATGGTAGAGGCATCATAATGTTAGAAGGTGGCTTTGAAGAGATTACTAGTGCCTTCAGGTTGGCAGCAATATAATCAAGAAATACCATTCAGGTCTTCTGCTTCTGATTGCATGCTCAGCCTTATAACCAATGAACTCTTCATGCTGTCTTTTACCTTCAGCAGGTGTCAATGCCATCTACTTGGGACCCTACTATTAGGTCAACTCTTCAGGGGTTGTTGCCTCTCCTCACTGAAAATGCAGAGAGGGAGTGCAGGATCTGTATTGCACTGAAGTAAAATACATGGATTACACAGTGTGAATATCAACTGTATGGTTTCCTCGATATGTGGGGTGTTTTTTTCTTTTTTGTCATCCCAGGCTTCACCACTGGGCATTGTCCAGGGAATGTGTGGGCAGGGGCTCAGTTGAGAAGCCCTCTGCAGGTAGTGGGTTCTCTGTCCTGTGTTGCACAGCAGGTCTGCAAGGGGACAGTCACAGACAATGGAAACTTCTGTTGGGGAGTGTGAGCAGTACCACTGGGTTTAGAGAAAGGTGGGAGGTTATTCTGGGGACTTCAAGAAGCCAAGCAGAGGAAATAATAATCTTTTCAGAAGTGCTGCCCAATAGGGAAGTATAAGAGGATGAAGACTATTTGAAATCATAAACTACTTTTTCTTTATTTGCAGGCAGGTGGTTTGGTCCTTCAAAATTGTTTATTGGCACTAAAGCAATTACACTGTAGCATTCTTTTCCATGTCCTGTTTTTTATTTCACCCACGACATTAGGGTCTCCTTAAAATTAATTAGATAATTCCTAAATTTTAAATTTGTCAAAGTTGGTTCAAATCTGAAATTGCATGTTTTAAATGCATTTAATTTTAAAAGGAAAGTTAAGGCGGAAGTAGAAACGTCAGCATGAAAGGAAGTGAAATCAGTTTATATTTTGTTTTAGTTTCAGCTTCCTCTTGCTAAGTGTAAGAAGATGTAAGTACTAATATAAAAATATAGCTTGACATTCCCCCTTCGTAGTTGAAAGTGATACAAATACCTCTTAATATTCCATTAATTTCCATTATTTCGATTTTTTTTTTTTTTCTGAGAATGACTTTTCATTGCTATTTCTATAAAAATACAGGCTTAGAAATACGAACCTTTGAGATAAAAGGTGTAACAGATGTGCAGGTCTGATTCTGCGTAACACACAATTATGTTTGCTTCAGATGTAATGTTTGAATAGACAGTACATCGGTGAGAGTGGCTGTTTGTTGCTTTTATAGCTAAATTAATTAATTGGCCACTTTGGTTCCATAACTTATTAAAGTTCTTGACACCCTCTACTGATTATGAAATAAAGGGGAGTTGTGGGAACTTTTTATCTTGCAGAGGTAGTCTTAATGCGTATTGTGATTTGATTATAATTCTACCTGCACTCAAATATTGAGCAAATTCCACATGGACTGTTTCTACAAATTTGATGTCCATACTCTTCATTTTCAGACAGACTTTTTTTGTTTCATTTTGGTTTTTTTTGTCTTTGTTTGTGGATCTACAGTAATAAAGAATAACAATAATCCTTACTAAACATTGTAAGGATTTCACCCCTGACCCTGCTAGGAGTGAAATACTATTTGGGTGTAAGCTTCAACAGTCTTATAAATCCAGAAAAAGAAAATAATGATTTTGGTTTTTTTTTTCTTGCAAGTGTAAGGATGAGTTTTTTGATTCGGATAAATTTATTGAGCGAGATAAGGAAATATGTCTTCTTTCTGTTATCTGATGATCTGTAAAGATAATAGATGTTCTTTAATGAGATCTCACCACTAGGCAAACAGCAAATGGAAATGTACCAGCACTAAAAGGCAGCCACCACTACGGAGCATTCATTTGTGTAACAACATGTAGAACATAACCTCTTTTAAGCTTGTGTTAATGGTTGGTCAGCATCTGACGCAGGGGAATGATGCAAATGGTTTGATGAGGAGGACCTTATTAATCAAGCGGAGTGAAATTTTTCCATTTGCACAAGGTTCACAAAGGGTTTATGTATCCCTTCTATCCCATTTTGAGGGCTGAAGTGATGCTTGAAAGGTTAATAGAATCTGTGCTGTAGTGGGGAATGCTGTGCTTTACAGTGGAGTATCAGGGTACTTGATAAACACACTTTGAAAGGTACTATTTCAGTGCTTCAGAAAATTCCTGTGCAGTAGAAGTAGGTAGGATGAGCCCAGTTCACAAAGGGGCAGAATAAAAAGTAATTATTTATATGGTATATATTTCAACAACTATCACACACTAAGTGTGATGAGAAAAACAAAATGAAAACTCTAGTGACTTGTGACAGTATCTTCAGCCTACTTTGATGTGTTGGTTCAGTTAATATCCTGTAGTCAGCTTTCTGAAAGAAGAACATGACTCTTGCTTTACAAGTAGTGTGGTGTTTGTTTAGGAGACAGCTGCTACTCTAATAACTAATCTCTGCAAGGATTATATTTCTTCGCACAGTCATACTCTGAATGATCATTACAGTCTCTTCTGATTTAATATTTTTGTCTTTTAATCTAGCAATTCCCAGTGCCTGATCATGATATGGAGACTGTATGTTAGACACCTATAATTTATGTTTTATAGTCTTACTATTTAAACTTGTATTTGAGTGGGAGACCAGTGTTTCACACTCTTTGTCTTAGATGAGGAATACCTAACAGATCAAGTTACGTTGGAAATTGCATCTGTGAACATCAAGACCCTTACATCAGATTCTGGCCTAATCCAACAGGTAAGAAAAATGATACTTGAATGTGAAATGAGTTATCGCTGTCAATTAAGTATTTTAACAAATAAATATATTTTCAGATTATATCTGGAGAGCACAGAATTACTCAGTAAAAGAGACCAGAAATAGGTTCTCTTTCCAAGAGTTCAATGAAGTGAGCTTTTGTGGAGAAAAACAAAGGTTATTTTATCCTTAACATAAACTTTTTAGTTTAAATAGGTTTTGATTAGTGTGTAGATGATCTAAAGAAGAGACAGCAAATAGTTAAGGCTTTGTCATGCATGCTGTCCCTCTTTCCTGTTGAAAATAGAGCCAGGGCAGAGAATAAGTGAAGAAGTAAGAAATCCTAGGTTTTGCCCTTTGGGAGGCATTTGACTGTTTTGCTTTGATTTTGAGACGCTGCTCTTCCCATAGTTTAAACACTCTCCATTATCTGTGACATCTTACATTGCCACAGAATGGACAACGCTGAGTGACTCCCATGCTCCATGGTTATCATATTTCAAGTGAACGTTATTTGCTGAATTTCAAATTGATTCTCTTTGGGTTGAGCAGAAAACTTGGAGAAGAAAAATGAATGAGCATTTTCCAGCGAGATGAAGAATTAAAAGGAGTTCCTTATGCCAGAGTCCCAGCTGAATTTCATCAGAAACAAACATGGGTTTGGTATGCATTTCACAGATGATGGAGGTAACGGTTCATTCCCATCATCAAGAAGAGAGCATTTATTGACAGCAAAGATAATTCAGTGTATCAGGGTGTTAATGGTTCCACAGAGCTGGAAAACTTTCTGCTTACCTTCAGACTGTGCTTAGGTTTATGGCTTTGATTAGATCCATAGCCCGTCCACTGTGGGCTTAAGAATGCCTTTGTTTCATGGGCAGTAACACTGCACTGTCTTATTGCAATTACATTACAAGAAAATTATCTTGAATAAACCCGACTGCTTCTGTCTTGATAAAAGTGGATAATGACTGATCGGTAAAAATATGAATTTTGAAAACAGATGTATGGCACAGGTAAGTATCCCTGATTTACTTTGTACCTTTTGCCATACTGCCATCTCTTGTTTTTGTTTTTTTCTTTATCACAAGACGTGTATAATGACATAAAGACATTTAGGTATCAGCTTTCACAATACAGTTTGAACTTTCACGAGTTCATCAAGTCCAGGAAATAATACTGAAGGTCAGGATAGCAACTAAGTGAACAGCATCTGCTTTTTTTTTTTGTGTGTGTGTTTTTTTATTTGTTTGTTTTTGTTGGTTTGGTTTGTTTTTTTTTGTTTGTTTGAATATAATTTGCTTGTTTGTGTCTTTTGAAGTAGATCTCTGGGGAGGCTGAGCTGTGCTGGGAAGTTCGTCTTTCTCTCAGTGGGTTATCCTTCATGGAGTTTGCTCCTCAGGGCTCAGTAATAATATTCTGCTTTTTTAAGGAATTTGTGGGAGTGAGGACAATTGCTATAATCAGGATCTTTATATTTAGTTTTTCTTAAACTTTGAGTGCTCACGTGTTGCTATGAAGGCCAACTTTAAGTTTAAAAAAGCACTGTCCAGACAAAGCTGTTGTGGAACCAGTGGAAAAGTAAACTAATGGCAACATTTATCCTGTTGCAATTGGCATGTGCAGTGTGAGATCTCTCTTGATCAGAGAGCAGACATTTTGATGTTGCGTGTGTGATCTTGCTGTTTTCAAGGAATAAAGAAATGCTGAAAATAGTATGCAAATTTTTCCTTTCTTAACAAAGTCTGTAAATATTTTGAAGATAGTTCACCTACTTTACAACTGGGTTGTGAACATATGCAAATTCACCAAAAGAACTGGAAGTGCCTATATTCTATTTTTAATGGATTTCTTAGTAAAGAGGGTGTAGCAGGTAGGAATAGAGTATCTTATTACACTGTATTTTTACCCGTATAACGACTTGTGTTTGCATGTGATAGTTTTGGAATAATGACACAATACAAAAAAATCAACAATACTTTACTGCAGCTATCTAAGGGGAAAATCCCCTTTTACTTTCATCTTTAAACCCTCAGCAGAGGAAAGCAATTTCATCTGGCTCCACACACGCATAGTTAAAATAAGGGGAGCTGCAGTTTCCCGCAGTTCTAGGATCAAGGGCTGTCTTCCAGTTTTTAGAGGTTGCTAAGTAGTTGAATTTTAATGTTACAACGTGTGTTACAGTCTGATGTTGCTAAGAATTTCATTATGTTTAATTAGTAAGCGAAAAACCACTGAGGTTTACTTGGAACAGAAGGAGGGTTAGATCTGAGCCAGCAGAAATGTTCAAATCAACATGTTGTCTAAAAAAGCTTCCTAGGCATGTAAAGAAGTTTGTAAAAAAAGCTCCCCCACTTTTCCTAGATCAATGAAACAATCCCTCACTACTGCATTTAACAGGCAAAGTCCTTGGTTTTTTTCTGATTACAAAACATTTAAAAATATTTAGTCAAAGCATATAAATTGTTGAACAGCTGTTGAGGATTAAGAGCAAATTATTCAAAAGATATGATCCTATAGCATATTATTAATAAAGATGCAATTGTTCAGTGAATACAACCAACAGGGTAGTTCTGTGAGCCAAAGCATGGAAATGCTGTCTGAAAAGACTGCAGATTGTCAGAAATTCCTCAAAACCTTATATATTCCTTGTCTGACTTTAAAAGAATCCTGAACTACTTGTAAGTAATCTCTTGCCAGTTGCAAATTAGCCAAATAACTATTCTAGTGTTCAAGTACATTGTTTTATTTTGATTTATATTTGTTTTCTGCTTTGTAGCCAGAAGACAAAGACACTCAAAACCATACTGACGAATCACTTTCAGGTAACGTGTCAGCTTTCTTATTCTACATATTTTAAGATTTTCTTTGAAAGTACTTTATTAAAAACTGCTGTTTGTCATAAGCAAGAACTGCCTGGGTAACCAGTATTTGTGGACCTCATTTCATGACCTGTGTCATTTACAGTTTCCCCTCTGTTCTGAGAGGTTGGTGATCAATACTGCAGACCATACAGAGAGTGTAACTTGGGTTTTCCAAATGCATATAGTACATCCACTTTTAGAAGTGATCTGTAAATAGCTGTTGGGAGAGAGCAAGAGCTGGCAGTAGGCTGTGGGGGCTTATCCCATAATTGTATGAGCCCTGCTGTGGGAGGGATGTGTGGGTGTGTGTATGACATGCAGTTCTCTCAGTCTAACAGTGAGAAACGAGAGTTTTCTGTAAGTAAAACAAGCTTGTCCAATCATGTAGCATCAGGATCATGCAATTAGATGGGTAGGTCAGTCATTTGCTTGTCAGTGTCTAACATGGGGCATCTTAGAAAAGCAGGATTCTTTATGATGCTTTTGATAGTCTTGCAGATGGTATAGCACAAAAAGCAGGTTGGTTTAGTTTTGTTTACTTACAATTGTGCCCTTTCATAGGGCTGTTTTCTTTACCCTTTCTTTTCTGCTTTTATTGGAGGAAAAAACTTACTCTGGAATCCCTGCCAGAGTAAATAAGATGAAGTTCAGATAGGGTGCTCTCCTGCCCTTTTTGCTCAGCCAGAACTTTGATTGGATTATATTCATTTTGCCTTGTTTGTATAAGTAAATGTTGGTATGAATGAGGCAAAAAAATTTTGTCTCACTTCAGCAAGAGCCTAGGGTGCACAGGAAGAACAGAAGAGTTAAAAGACATATTTCTCTAGAGAACACTGTGAGGTCTGTGGAATACCTGTGAGCAAACATGTCACCAGAACGATTCCCCTTTAGAGGGAATCTGAGCATTTGTATGAAGTTATGTGTCTGCAGCACTGTTGTTACTGCATGCCCTAACTTGTTGAAAACTTCAGAAGTTGTCTTTGGCCTGCTAAAAGAGCAACCTGATGAGCAGTCTTACAAAAATAACAATAGCCTGTTCTTTCCTTAAAAACAAAGTACAAAGTGCATGCAGACACTACATTCAGCTCACTGATGGTATTTCTGGATTTTTCACGCAATCTGACAATAATTACCGCAAATAAATTAATAATAATTAAAAAAAAAAAGCCACAAACCCCACAAACAAACAACTTTAACAGATGCTGTTGTTCTTATGAGTAGGTTACACTAACTTTGCCAGAGATACAGTTCAGGCTTCTGATCCAGCACTTTTAAATTGTGTGTCACTGTTTTCTGTTGTCTTTAATCAATCTTTTGATTAATATCAGCCTCTTTTTGAAAAAGTCTCATCCTGAGTAGGACTAGTTACTTCCCTTTTTAAAGCTGTACAGGGAGGCTGGAGTACAGAAGCTTTAGAAAATGCTTCTAGGATGTGTCCATTATCTTCGGAGAGATCAAATTCTCCCTGCTTTCAAGAAGGAGCAAGGAGAGTTAACGTCATACCTGCAGCCAAAATGCTGATTCCATGTCCTACATCACTGCAGTGTTAAAGCTTTTAGTATTGGTGTTTAACTAGAGGTATGACTAGAACTGGTTTCCACATGCTTTTATGGGCTATTAATATATAATAAGGTCTGACAACAGCACATTGTTCACAGTGCTGCAGAGATAATGTTGTGCGTAAGAGACCTCTAAATTATGATTTTTGGTATTTGATGCAGATTTTAAAACATATCACCACCTCTTTCCAGCAACTTGATATTTCTGTTTTTCTCACACATGGAAGAGTATGCGCTTTATTCCTTTCAATAATGCACATTTCAAATGGGCTTCCTTGGTAGAAAAGGGACAGCTTTTATTGCAAGAGCCCTTACAAAGCAAAGGAACATTTCCAGTTTTTCATTGTGATAGAGTACTAGGTGTTTGGAACTGTCAGAAGAGATTCTCCTGGGGCACATATTTCATGTTGCTATGAAGGCAGCAGATCAGAAACGCAAAACCTTTTCTTCATCCTCCAACACTCGTATGCAAGATGCACAAAATGCATACATAATCCATCCCGTTGGTGATGTAGGTGGGGGTTATGGCTGATTTGTGGAAGCAACGTAGTTCCAAAAACACAAAAGGGGAATATCCTAGCTCACACGCTGCATTGAATCCCATGTCTTTTCTATGAAAGTATAAATAAGGTGCTTTCAAAATTACTGTCCTTTTGATTAAAACCACTGAGCATAGCGAAGAGAGACGTTTTAGAAAGTTAATTTCATGAGTTCTTCATAGGGAAAGGCATTGCATGTCCCTGTTCTGACTTCTTCAGAAGTGATTCACAGGAATGTAATACTCTTCAACTATTTATACTTTTAACTTTTAGTTCCCAGTGAAACCACAGCAATAGATCCTAACTTCTCCCCATGTAATGGTTTTCACTGCAGATCTCAAGAAAACCTGCAAGGAAAATGTCACCTGCTCCTTGTGCTTATTCCGTGCACCAACCATCAGTGACATGCTCAATGATGAGGACTTGTTGTACACAGTGAGACTAAAGCTGGATCCCTGCCACCCAACAGTGAAAAACTGGAGAAATTTAGCAAGCAAGTGGGGGATGACTTATGATGAATTGTGTTTCCTTGAACAGAAGCCCCAGAGTCCCACCTTGGAGTTCTTGCTACGGAATAGTGACCGGACTGTGGAGCAGCTGATTGACCTCTGTAAATTTTATAAGAGAATTGATGTTGTGAAAGTGCTTCTGAAATGGGTGGAGGAGGAATGGCCCAAGAGAGGGAACAGAACTTACCAGAATGACTTCTAGGTCAAAGGAAGTTGTTAGTCCGTATGTATTAAATGCTGGGACTAGCTGCCATTAATACATTGGAAGTTTCCCTTGCAAGAGAGAGAAAGCCTGTACTGACAGTTTGTATACTGTGTCAGCCTTATCTACTGTATACACATATGTATGCTCTGTACCCTCAGGGTTGCAAAGATAATCTTCCAAAAGGAGACGGAGTCATCCAGGTTGTGTTCTTGAGCCTACAAATTCCTTCAGCTTCTTTGCTACTGTTGGTAGGCTTCCTAAGCAGAAGAGGAATGAAAAAGCCAGACTGCTGGTTTTACTGCAGCAGTTGTGAACCGTATCAGCTGTGTTCTGATGCAATTCTGTAGCTAAAGCCACAATTAGAAGGCAAGTCTCTTGGCCTTACTGGCAACCCTTCCACAATTTTGTCTCTTCTACCTAGTAGAAGATGAGGTGTATTTTTTTTTTTCATTTTTTGTTCTTTTCTTTAAGCTTTGTGACACTGTTTTTAGCACAGGAACACCTCAGTGCTCCAAGCAGCAATTTGGATTTGCACGTTACAATTAATTCAAGGTTTCAACATCATATTTGAGCAAATAAGCTTTAAGTCTCTTTTATAAACAAGAATATATTTGCCCTATGAAGAAATCACGCAATTCAGAGAGTTTACAACCTATAATCTGCTGGGGGTCAAAAAAGCCCATTAAAGTGCTCTATCCTTAAAATTACTTTCCAAAGTTTTGAAGACAGTGTACACTTTGAGTACATGTATCAAGTGCCTCTCGCTTTCCAGTGTGAGAGGCTAATACCTCGCTCACAGGATATCGTTAATATTGACTATAACTTCCCTTTACACAGGCTGTGGTTTTCTTTACAATCCTGTGGGTTGACCTACTTTCTGCCCCACACCAAGGTGCACACTTGTGTGAAGCTAGCACTGGGTATTGATTAGAGCCACTCTTAATGGAAAATTACCAGGTGAATTCACCTGCAGTCCAGGTTCAGGGTTATTAAAGCACTTATTAGTTGTTTAGACTGATGTTTTTCAGAGGATTTTGATACTCTGAATTACACTGTTCACACTTTAAATATTTCAGAAATCAGTCTTTTTCCTGCCATTCTTCTGACATCTCAGGCAATACTAGTATGTACATAGATGTATATACCAAAGCACTGGTGAATAGTATGTCAAGACATGGGGTAAAACTAGAATGGGCTGCTGGTTGATGCGCTGTTTACTTTTCTGTAGTAGAAATTATAAGAATTAGTAGCGAAGCTGAGGGAGATCTAATGCTGTATACTTACTTTCTTACTGTAAGAGAATGAAAAAGGACCTCTTTACTATAGATAGATACTGAGTGATACGGTTACAGAGGAGCTAGAAGTAAAGATTAACATTTTCAGTGCCAGGCACTAGTTCTGGGGTGGCATAAATTAAGTTTATTGTAAAGACTTCAAGAAGCTGAAAATCTTGTTTCAAGGTGAAAAGAGTGACCTAAATTTGAGGTTTGAATTTTTTATTTTTTTAGAAAAGACTGGAATTTTTAATAACTTTTTTCAAAAAAGCTGCTACTGTTTAAAACTCTTTAGTTTTCTGTCTGTATTTTAAGGAGGAAGTTGTACTGCTGTATCTTGTTGGGGCTGCAGTTCAAATGTTTTGCATTCCTTTTCCAGGTACTGGGGTTTCCTGATAGATGTCTGTCAACTCTAACTTTTGCAAATAATCTTCTGCCCTAAGTTAATGCTCTAGATTCAGCTTTGAGGACTGTTGTTGTGGCTGGGCTCTCTGCTATTTTCAGTTCCTACAGAGGTATCCACTGCCTACATGCAAATAGCTCATAATGCAGCTTGTCCAACAAAATCCCCATACCCTGGGCCAACTGCATACATGATTTAGGATCGTATGTCTGTGTGTCAAGTTTTAATTCTGAGTGATGAGTGCTGGCATGTATGCCAAAGGCTCTTCCCTCCCATAACTTACCACAGCTATATAGATCCAATCCAGCAAGGAGGTTGAACCCTCACCTGAGATTCAGAATGGGAATAAAAAATGATGCAGCAGCATTCCTGAATCAACGTGTTCAACTGAAATCTACCCCTCTTCCTGTGTCTTGGCTAAAACTTGTAAAATTTTCCAGAAACGCTGATGTCTTCTGGAGATGAGTTCTGATCCCTCAAAGCTCTTGAAAACTCAAGGTCAGCTGCAAGGATTCATGTCTAATGGAAATAAAGCTGCTTCTGAGAGTACATGGGTGGATTCTGTATAAATACAGTTCTGAAGGGTGAAAATGTTAGCCCTAAACTTCACCACACACTGGATTATTTGTTAGTATACTTGAAATACTTTTCTTCCTCTTTGTATGTCATAAATGGAGATGTACACGCTTCTTTTTTTCTCAGTTTTGTATCTTTTTACAAGATATCGGGTCTGAGTGTTTGGTTTATTCTTATATCTTCTGTTATAATGTATACTATTTTTAAAGAAATATAGATTGTCAATGTTTGACTTTATTGTTTTTGTTTTTATTACAGCTAGGAACACAGCTGTTTTCTTTCTCACCAGTCACCTTGGAAACCATGAACTATCAACTAGTTGTACTGTGTAAAAAACATCTTATATATGAAATTCATGACTCCTTAAAGCACTTACATTTGCAACAGATACTGCTGTTCAAGAAAGGAAGATGCATTTTTCAATCTATTCCATATGAAAAATTAGTAAATTTTGATAAGATGATAAACAAAGAGGTTTATCTAGACACTTGCAGTGGAGTTACTAACTACAGAGAGGTATGAAACCTATACTGGATGAACTTTTCCTGAATTAATAGCCAATTGGGCAATGGACACTAAAAAGTCCCTAATAGGCTATCAGTTTTATTCTTTTATATCTTTCTCCTGTTCCTGTATGAGACCTGCTCTCCCTTCAGGGATTTCCAGTTTTTTGGCTGCCATCTCTGTTCCTGCAAGATTATCCGTGACCTCTCCCACCCACTTCAGCTTCTATGAAGCTGCCCAAGCCCCTGTACTCTCTCATTCCTGCAGCTTTGCCTAAGACCTGATGAGCTTAATAACTGTTCCTCCATGGCAAACTTACAGTGCTGTGCTCCAGGAGCACCGAGTTTTGCTGTGTGGTCAACTATGGGGCATTCCCAGCAAAATGGTGACAGTGTTCAGTTGCCTCACTCGCTGCATGCACCTGCTTTTGATCTGTGGGGAGGAAGGCAGGATGGATTAGGGACTGTCCTTTGGAAGCCTACCGTAACGAATAGGGTAGTCAGCATGGCCCCAGATGCTTCAAAATAAGTTGTTCAGCATCTGTAAGCCAGACTTCTTCCCAAACCACTGCTGAATAATGGAGAGCTGCAGCTCTGCCTGGGCAGCGCTTTGTGCAAGAGGCTGCATGTTTTTCACTGTCTCAGACTGCCTCCCACAATTCCAAGTGAAGCTGTTAGCTTCACTCACAAGAGGAAAAAGAATGTAAATTCTTATATATGGTTGTTTAAGTTAGGGTAACCCTCTTGACTTGTGGCCAGACATAGTTGGAAATTATTTGTCAGACAGCAGAATTGTTTAAACAAGGTCAAAGAAAGTGCATGGCATTTATAATAACTTACAGAGCAGCCTGCTTGTGTAATTTTTGCAGCATATCGTGTTCTTCCGTCCATGAAGGCAAAGCAATTCGTTATTCATAACTAATTTCAATATATTTTGTAAACTTTAAGTTTTGGGTCAGTTTTGGACAGAGAGGCAGAACACCATTAAATGTGGACTTGGACATTTTGCCTTTTTTGACAAAAAAATGCTTTGTCTAGCCCCTGAGTTCAGCTAGTCTTGATTACAGAACTATGGTCAGTTCACCTTAAGTAGATAGGGAAGTTATGGATCTACTGGTCAGACAGGCTGAATATAAGCAGCACTATGCAGAACTTATTTGGAAAGGTGGAGTCTGTAGTATTTGGTTGCCTCTATTTTTGTCGAGGGCTGGGACCGATTCCATCTCAAAAGAAGTGATCAGAAAGAGAAGTCTGCAGCTTTGGGAAAGGCTTGCTGTACCTCTGTTAGGGGCAGAGGGGCAATTAAACAGCTGGATAGACTTACTAGCTTGTTTGATATCTGCATTTTACATTTGCAAAATGGTGATTCTTGATTTCAAAGGCAGGTCGTTTGGGTAAATATGTATTTGTTATTGTGGTAATGAGAGTTGCATGGGATTCCTAAATGTGACAAAACAGTGCAAGTCTTGTTAGGATGGAATCAGCAAGGTTGGCTTTAGCCTTTTGGAAATTCAACGTGAAATTACTGCTGTGTTGAATTTTTTTCAGGCTTTGTTTATTGGCCTGCACAGTGCTATGAAGACGAGGATTAAAACTGTAGAAGAGATGAGAAAGAAGTAGCTTCTATTATAAATGATTGGTGAGAAATAACATCTATGGTGTTAACTTACTCTTTCTTCTAATGTATACACAGAAATAGTATCATTATCTCTTAATTATCTCTTTCAACTTTTATTGAGGAATTTCAGAAACAAGGCCAAATGTGTTAGTAACTTGGATAATAAACATGTTTCTATGCACCTGTGTACAGCATGAGATAGATACACAATTTTACATATCCACATTAATGGGCTTTTTTTTTTTTTTCCTATTATGAGTTTGCTTCAAAATTACCCAATATTTAGTTTGGGACTGCTTTTTTGTCTTCAAAAATAACCAGAGTTTCATGTTGTTGGTAAAAGACATAGTATAAGAGACATTTACCCAACTATAAAGAACCTTAATAGGAAGAGCTAGGATGAGAAAGGGGCACCCAAATCCTTACAGTAGTAATAATATCTTGAATCTAAGCTGAGGATTTATTTTTGTCTTTGCACCCAATATATATCAGCTTCCCCTACTTTAGTTCATTCACAGTACCATAAAACAGGTTTTTTTTCTGGTCCTGATTTACTTTTGCCTCTACTTTTCTCTGAAGCTGAGGAGTTCACCAAGTCTATTGAAAGCCTGTTCTTCTCTAACCATCAGAAAACATCTACCATCTTGTGGTGAGGAGTGATACTACAGCCCTCTCACTTTTTCTTTGAAAATACAGGAGAGTTAAGTTAACCACAGGGGAGCTCATCTGTAACTGCAGAGGGAAATCCAAGCTCAACTGCAATGTTGATGATGAAGGTTTGAAGGTCAAGTCCTAGGGATCTTGTGTTTGGTCACAGTTTTCCCTTTTGCACAAATGCATGATGGTTTCTTCTTTCTTATCTCCCTAGATAGGAAGGGACTGAAGTACAATGTGAAGATTGTGGCACAACCACCTGGGGGCGGAGTGCGTAGAGCGTGAGGGTGCAGACAGGGCAAGCACAGGCACAGGTGTCTATTGCAGTGCAAATGAAGAAGTGATCCTGACTACCTGAAGAATCCTAGAGTGTTGTGTGACTGATTTAAAAAAGAAGGGGTGAATATGTTTTAAGGATTATATGGCTTACAGTTGGTTTTCAGAAGGACTAGTTACTTCTCTGTTACTTGTTTGTCCTTTGGCCCTCATATCTCTTCAATATCTTGTTTGCTTTTATGATCCTCTTCAATATTTTGCCTTAAAAAGCAGGCATTGCAGCAAAAAATTTGATTACTTACTAGTTTCTGAAGTAGCAGTAGCATTTTAAGCTTTTGAATGTGTAAGACCATTAAAAAACCCACAACTTTTTATTTTGTTCCCTGTGATTTGTAAGCTTTAAATTGAAAACTAGAAGACCTGAATGAACGTTGGAGCTAAGTATTGGCAAATCAAGGAAGAGTTATAGAAGGCCACTGATTAAGTTATAGCTAAATAAAAGCTGAGCCAGCTGGACTGTCAACTGAAATGTTAATCTTGGTGTACCAAGAAGTGGTGACTCATGCCCTCTTGGAAGTCTGTTAAGAACTCCTGATGGGACCTGCAGAGAGCCATTGAGGTAATTTGTATTGAATAGTCATAGTGGTGGATTACCATGTAAGTGATATTTATGCAGTTCTGGTTCAGGACAGTATTTATCTTGCTGACTATTCAGACAGTGAGTCATTAAAACATATATGCTGCTGTGGATAGTGTTGTGGAGGCCCAAAAGGGGTGTCCTTGACCTAAAAATGAATTGGGCAAATTCGTGGTCTGCTTATTCAGTAAGATGGTGCAACTGTAACCTCCGGATCAGAAAGTCCTAAACGGCTGATGGTCAGAAGCTGAATGTGTTCTCTCTCTGCTCCTCCAGGCATCTCGTGATGGCCACTCTCTGCAATGGTCTGGGTTTGTGACCCTGTGACCTGATGCAGTGCAGCTGCTTTCGTCTCTGCTGGACCACAGGTGTCTTGTATGAACCTCAACAGCTGCACCTAGGAAGCTGTAATGGTACTGCATGCATCTTGTGCCAAGTCTAGGGAATTCCATTACTGGTGGAAATTTTATAATTGAAACTGTGCATAAAATATTGGGCCAAGTAAGTGTGACTACGTATGTTGTTACCCTGA